AAGCTAAAACAAATAAACATTATATACAGCTAACACTAGTAGAACAATAGCTAAAACCTAAATTTTGCAGAACATTAGCTAAAAACTAAATTTAGTTTAACAGTAGCTAAAAGCTAAATTTAATTGAACAGTAGCTAAACGCTAAAACCAGAAAAACAGTGAATGCTAAATTAAAGAAACAATAGCTAAATGTGGAACATTATTTAAATGCTACAATTAGTTGAACAATAGCTAAAAGCAAAAATCATCTAAACATTAAATAAAGCTAACACTAGCAGAAAGATAAAGCATAAATTTAGCAGACAAGTAGCTGAAAGCAAAACCTAGTAAAACTGTAGCTAAATACTAAAGATCTGTATCTAAAAGCTAAAATTTGCAAAACGGTATCTGAAGCTAAAGCAAGTATTTCAGAGCAGAAACATTTTTATAATTTGAAGATTTCTCATTTCAATTCAACAGAAAACACTAAATAAAGTTAAATATATATATAAAAAGTCTAAAAATTAAAAATCCCAAAAGTCTCAGCTGTAATGTCCCAAACAAGCTGAATACTTTGGCATATAAATGGTTAAAACAGCTAAACGTATGTGCACTATGAACAGGAAAACATATCGTTCATGAAGAGGAACAACCTGAGAGCTAAAACCTTTGTCCTGTTTTATTTTCCAAATCAGTCAAATCATAAACCAGTGAACGTCCTGGTTTATACGTTGATCAGCACTGAAGTTATTACAAACATGTCAGAATTTAAAGCAGCACACGGTTTCAAATCATTTCCAACGTTTAATTCAACCTTTGTTTGTTCTCTTCTTTTATTCCAGGCTTCAGTGAAGCAAACAAATGATCCAATCAATAACAGCTGCACAGCCTAACATAAGGAGGATATCAGTAACACACTAACACACACACACACACACATATATTTATATAGGCCATGGCGCTGGAGAACTCTGTCTTGCCGTCCCGCCCCGACTCCCTCGCTCTCCCTGTAGAGGAGAAAAAACATGGGGAGGAAGAAGCCGAGGTGGCCTCCACGGGCGTCTTCAACGTATCGGAGGAGCTGGGCCACGTCGTCACCACGCAGACATCCTCCCCTCCTGCCCCAGCTAAGGTCAACAGGTCGTTCCAGTCCAAGCTGGCCGAGCGGGAGGCCACAGCCAATCAGCACAGGAAGAAGACCCCGGGGACAGAGAAGGAGAGGGGGCGCTTCGGGTGGGGTGAGTCCAGCTCTGCACTCTTCACTTTAGGATGTGAATACAGTAAAAGAAGTGTCTGTGAAAAGTTATGGCTCCTCCTGAAGCCGTTATCCAAGCCGCACGTTGCAAACACATCACAACCATTTTTTGACTCAGTGGAGCTTCTCTCTCTCCTCAAAACTGACTGCACCTCCTCCTCCTCCTCCTCCTCCTCCTCCTCCTGTCTTGCTGTAGCAAATATCTAAATTGGACCATGCAGCAGTGCTTCACCCCTCAGTGATTTCTGATACGGGTGCACTTTTTTTTACTGAGGACACTGTCAAGAAGAACTGCGGTCCGTATAATATGTGGTGCCGTTTGTAAAGTTGCACAGTCAAAAAATAACGTCAATAATTTGGTTTATTTAGATTTTAATAAGAAAAAACTGTTTTTTTCTAAGTCATGTTTTCACCATGTAATACATACATTCATAATTGTCATAATTCCCAACTAAATATTTAATTTAAAAGATAAATATTTAGTTTACAAACTAAAAAATTAACTAGCAAGTAGGTGTAAATTAAATGTTTAATTTACACCTAAATATTTAGTTTACTAACTAAATATTGAATTTCTACCTAAATATTTAGGTAGTAAACTAAATATTTAAGTTGCTAGCTAAATATTTAGCTCAGACCAAAATATATATTTTACAAACTAAACATTTAATGTCCAAAATAAATATTTTATTTGCTAATTAAATATTTACCTCGGACAAAAACATTTAACTTGCTAGTTAAATATTTAACTTGTTAGGTAAATATTTAACTTGCTAGCTAAATATGTAACTTGCAAATTAAATATTTAGGTCAGAGCTAAATATTTAGTTAGCAAATTAAATATTTAGTTTACTAACTAACTATTTTGGTATAAATTCAATATTTAGTTAGTAAACTAAATATTAGGTGTGAATTAAGTATTAAATTTATACCTAAATATTTAAGTTACACCTAAATATTTAGTTTACTAATTAAATATTTAATTTATGCCTAAATATTTAGTTAGTAAATTAAATATTTATGTGTAAATTAAATATTAAATTTATACCTAAATATTTAGTTTACTAACTAAATATTTAACTTGCTAGTTAAGTTGTTAGTTTGTAAACTAAATATTTATCTTGTAATTTAAATATTTAGTTGGGAACTATGACATTTATAAATGTATGAATAACATGAAGATATGACTTTGAAAATATATATTTTTTCTTATTAAAAGCTAAATAAACCAAAACATTGATGTAAATTTTTGACTGTGCAACGTTACAAACGGCACCCCATACATGCTGTATATGAGCATCGAGGAGCGCATTTGTTCATATTTAGTGTTTTTAATTCATTCTATCAGGAAAAAAAGTCAAATATCTTTAATCAAACAGCTTCCAGAAGCGTACCCTATCAGACAACAGGCGTCTTCAGGGCGACACCGTAACTTGTAGCTTCTCTTCTCTGAGTGTTTGATGATGTTTTCCTGTCTCACTTCATATGTTTTACTCTTCTCACCTGTCTCTTTTCATTTTTGTCTTCCCCTGTTCACTCTCGAAGCCGTCCTGTCCCTTGGTACCACACGTCCTTCATCTTCCGTTCAGCCGTTTAGCTTCAAACGGCAAATCTTGTCACCAATTTAAAGAGGAAGCCTTTGAGTGTCTGCGCTAAATGTTTTTGAAAGAGGTTTTTTTTTTATTCTGTTGAAAGGACTATCTTAAATGTTTAAAGAAAGTCATTATCAAGGGTTCGCTTCATGCCGTTCTGAATAAACGCTCGATTTTCGTGTCTGTTCGTGCCTTGTGTCAGCCCGGGCTCGCCGTAAGAGGCAGCGCTACGTGGAGAAGAACGGCCGCTGCAACGTTCAGCATGGCAACATGAGGGAGACTTACCGCTACCTGACCGACATCTTCACCACACTGGTGGACTTGAACTGGCGCTGCTCTCTCTTCGTCTTCGTCATGGCCTACGCCGTCACGTGGCTATTCTTTGGCGCCATCTGGTACCTCATAGCCTACTGTAGGTAAGATTCGTGAGCGAGTGGTGGGATTTCCGTGGAGATTCTGTGGATTTGTTACTGCGATCAAGCAGAGCTCCATGTGTTTTTGTTTGTTTTTACTTTGTCAACTTCACCTTCCAGGTTCATGTCTGATGTCTAATCATACTAACAATCTTTGCTGTAAACGAGATGCATGAATGAATGAACCAACAAATGAATAAATGACAAGTTTGGGGAATCCCAAAACTGTGGTGAATTGGATTTGACCACTCCATTCATTGCTCATACATTTTAAAAAAGCAGTTTTTCTTTACATAGATGGAGATTTTTCATCAAACGTAATGTACGAACGATTAGCATGACTCCAACAAAGTTAAGTCAGGACCTCTGGACGGTTTCTTTTAGTTGAAAAAAAAAATTCATCATCAGGGAGTGGAAGTAACAAATTACAAATACTTACATTACTGTAATTAAGTAGATTTTTTTGGTACTTGTACTTTTATGAGTATTTCTTTCAAGTGTGTAATTTTACTCATACTTAAGTACAATTTAGACCATGTAACCTACTTTACTACTTTTAAAATCAGAAGTCGCTACTGAGTACGGCTGCAATTTGAATCAATATTCAAAACCGTTCATCTCCATCTTTGTAGCCAATAAGGCTGTCAGATCACGAACGCACCAGTTACCTATGACGTCAGCAAAGGACAACTCCGAATAGAGAGTCACTTATGGACCGAAGATTTGGAGAAAAAGCCAAAATGGAGACGGAGGACAACACTGTCAACAGAGAAAATGAGGAGGTAAAGGTTGAGGACGAGTACCCGTACCCGTACCTGGAGGAATGTTTCATGTACAGAGGTGAAAAGGAGACAGCGTCCAGATGCAAACTTTGTTTGATCTCTACGGTGATAGCAGCTTCAAGACTTCAGCATCTAATCTCAAAAACATGTGATATACGAGGTTTTACACCTGTATGATATTGCTGTTTTATTGTTTGTGTGTGTGGGTTATTAGTTTGGCTGAGTACGCAAAGATCTTAGATATTGTCACTGCCATCGGTTTGCCTGGTACTAAAATAAGACGGAGCGTCTGAGTCTGTGCTTTTAATGTAGCGCTTATATACGTTAAATCAAACTGAATGCCTTCTATTGACAACACAATAAGACATCAATAGGTTAAAAAGTAATTAATACACAGAGTAGTTTTTGAGAAGAGTACTTTGTACTTTTTACTTAAGTATTTTTAAAACACCAGTGCCTGTAATTGAGTACAATTTAAGCAGCGTAACAGTACTTGTACTTGAGTACAAATTTTCAGTACTCTTTCCATTTTTCATCAGTCCGAGGAGCCAAAATAAACTCAGTTGATTAAATAGCACCTTCTCATAGTGGGTCGACCAGTCTGATGGTGCTCAGATGGTTTCTGGAGTCCGCCCTCTCCCCCGCCGACTCGTTTGAGGCAGTCATGGCCAAAGTGGTTCAAAATATCCTGATTTAAATCAGGTCCTTTAAACGGTTTCAAGTAGTCAGTTTGACTATAGTATCCAGGAGACACCGTTGTCAGTTTAGTTTTGTCAAAATCTAATGGAACAGCATCAAGAGACATGAAGTCAGCAGCTCCTGTCAAGTACTTACATGAAGATCTGTTAC